GAATTTAATACTGTGGCTACTTTATCTCCTCATGTCAGTGATCAGAATCAAACACCAGCCTTAATGTGTATGTCTACATTAACATAAATGAACACATCCTTCTTTAAAGCACGCCTGAGTGCTGTGCTGTTTTGGTAGGTAGCGCTGGCTAGCCTGGACTCCCAAAGGCCATCGTCACGTCTGTCTCTGGCCAAGGGTACACTACCATGCCTGAGTTAAAATGGATTCCAATATCAGTCTGGTCACCTTATAAAGGCCCAAGGTTTTGCAAAGGGTAGTCACTAAACTGAATACTGAAAGGACAGAACAGGTTTGATTAGCAACACCATCTCTGCCTTCTTATTTCTAAGAGTAAACAGAGGGCTGAGATGAGGAGCTGAGTGCCATGAAAGAATTCTAAATATCCAAAATATGTTTTCCATGGGTGGACATCTAACCAACAAGACAAACAAACATGTGCTGAGACACAGACAGAGATCGACTCTAGGCATGTATACACACATGCACCCACATCCATCCACACATACATAATCGGTTTTTCGAGACAGAGTTTCTCTGTGCAACAGCCCTGGCTTTCCTGGAGCTCACAGAGATCCGCCTGCCTCCGCCTCTAGGCATATTTAAAGTGCCTGTATGTAAAGTGCCTGCAGTGCCACCACTCAGGAAGCTGAGGCACAAGGATTTAAAAATCGAATAGGAGCTGGGGGTCATGGTGTACACCTGTAGTCCCAGCACTCAGGGACGCAGAGGCAGATGGATGCTGTTGGTTTGAGGCCAGCCAGGTCTACAAAGCGAGTCCAGGACAGGCAAGGCTACACAGAGAAACCCTGTCTCGAAAAACAAAACAAACAACAACAACAAAAAGCCTAATAGGTACTGGGGATTCAGTTCAGTGGTAGACATGCCTAGCACATGTGAAGCCCAGGGTTCCAGAAAGAACCACAAACCACATTAACAACGAGATGTTCAGTGACTATGGCTAGCTGGGTCAAAAAAAAAAAAAAAAAAAGTTAGTTTATCTTAATACAAATATTTGGGAGGGAAGGAGGCTGGAGAGCTATCTCAGCAGTTACGAGCATATATTGTTCTTCCAGAGGATCGGAGTTCAGTTCTCAGAACCCACATCAAGTGGCTCAACCATTCTAGCCCTGGGGGGTCCTACCCCTCGACCTTCCGGGGGCACCTGCACTCATATGCACAGAACCAGACACACACCAGACTAAAAATAAGTTTTGTTTTGTTTGCTTGGTTTTTGTTTTTTCAAGACAGGGTTTCTCTGAGCAACAGAGTCCTGGCTTTCCTGGACTTGCTTTGTAGATTAGGCTGGCCTCGAACTCACAGAGAAGAGATCCACCTGTCTCTGCCTCCCAAGTGCTGGGATTAAAGGAGTGCGCCACCACATCTGGCCTGTTTCCTTAAAAACAGTAATAATTATAACTTTTTTTTTTTTTTTTTAGTTAGGGTCTTATTACGTAGCCCAGGCTGGCCTCAAATCCAGAAATCCAACTGCCTCTGCTTCATGAGTACTAATAATAAAGGTGCACATCACTATACCTGGCCCCCAAAATAATCGTAATTACATTTAAAAACAAACAAACCAGCTCATTCAAATGCTGAAGCCAGATACCCTGATTTCACATGCCTTAGGCTCTGCTGCCTACTGACTGGGGACCTCTGAATAAATGGCTCACCCACTCTGTTTCATTTCTTCCATTACCACAAAAAGTAGCTAATGCCTACTGAGTGCTGAGACAGCACCAAACACCACGAACGCCCTCAATATTCCAGCCTCACAGCATCTTAACATCACTTTGCACAGCTTCGTTTAGACAACCGTATATCGAAAGGCAGCACTGTGTGGTTGCAGCATCAGGCTAGCAGCCTGCCAGCACGAATCCTCCAGAGATCACAGGGTTAATCACAAGGCAGAAGGGAGTTCTGAGATCTCATAGGCATAATATTTATCTAATGTCAGGCAGAACTGGGGCACATTCATGGATGAAGTTTTACGATAGCCCCATGAGACAGGTGCTCTTACCATCCTGACTGAGCCATGAGAAACTGAGATGCATACAATTAAGCAATTAAGAAAGGTCAAATAGCTACAATTGGGATCCAACTAGAAACCTGGCTTTGTCAGTTTTTGTTCCTTTGTTTTCTTTTTGAAACAGGTTCCACGTAGCCCAGGCCAGCCTCACACATTTTGTGACTTCAGGTCGATCCTGAACGCCTGCTCCTTCTGCCTTCCTCTTCAAATGCTATAGTTACTAAAGTATACCAGCTTCAGTTCTCTCAGCTGTTCAACACACTCTTCTTCATTCCTTTCTCTCTCTTTTTCTTTTCTTGGAAACAGAGTTTTTGTAGACAAGGCTGGCCTTGTCTACAACCAATCCTCTTTCCTCGGCCTTCTGAGTGCTAGTATTTTAAGTGTGTGCTACCATGCCTGGCTACCACACAGTTCTAGCTGATTACAATTCCCAAGGAAATCACATACACAAATTCTCTTCAAAGAAAAAGAAAAGGAGAGGTTTCAAACATCTAGAAAAGAATTTACAGCAGAATCTCCTCAGGTCTTCAGATACCCGGGCACACTGACACTAGACTAGCAACACTGATTTACGGTGTTCCGAGTGTGGCGGAAGTACGCATGCAGTGAACAAGATGCAATTAGTGAGTTTCTAGATCAAGCCAGACCTCCCAATCCACTCATCACACAGAAATAAGTGTCAGTGTGAAACCTGATCCCATTAGGCGGAGTGCCATACTCCTTCTAGACTCGGCTGCTGGAGAAGCTGAGGTGGAAGGCTCACTTGAGCCCAGGAGCCTAAGTCTAGCCAAGGTACTAAAGCAAGACTACCTCAAAAAAGAAAGTCAAAGGGCCTGGAGAGATATCTCAGTGGTTAGAGTACTAGCTGCTCTTCGAAGGGACCCAGGCTCAAGTCCCAGCACTCACATGGCAGCTCACAACTGTAATTCCAGTTCCAGAGGATCTGACACCCTCACACAGACGTACATGGAGGCAGAAAAAGCAAAGGAAATAAAGCTAAATAAATAAATAAGCTGGCCACAGTCATTCATGTCTATAATTCCAGTTCCAGAGGATCTGACACCCTCACACAGACATACATGGAGGCAGAAAAAGCAAAGGAAATAAAGCTAAATAAATAAATAAGCTGGCCACAGTTATTCATGTCTATAATCCCAGTAGCTGGGAGGGAGACAAATCAGGACATGAGCTGCCACAAGTTCAAGACTAGCCTGAGATATACAACAGGTCCCATGCCAGACAGGACCAGAGTGAGGCTGCCTTAAAGAAACTAACTGGGGGCTGGAAAGATGGCTCAACAGTTAAGAGTGTTTACTGCTCTTGTAGAAGACCTGGGTTCAAACCCCAGCACCCATATGGCAGCTCACCTCTACCTATAAATACAAGGGATCTGATGCACCCTTTGATATCTAAGAGCTGATGCACACATGGTACACAAACATACATTCAAACACACACAAACCCATAAAAATTAAACAAGGGCTGGAGAAATGGCTTAGAAGGGCATTGGCTGCTATTCTAGTAGGTGTGGGTTCAATTCCCAGTATCTACACGGCATCTTATAACCATCTGTAACTCCAGTTCCAAGGGATCTGATACCCTCTTCTGGCCTCCAAGGGCACCGGGCACACACGTAATATACAAATATATCTGCAGGCAAAACACTTATAAACACAAAATAAAAATAAATATTTTAATTAAAATAAACTATTTAATTCCGGCATTGTGTCCCACTCCTTTAATCCCAACACTCAAGCGGCAGAGACAATCAGATACCTATGAGTTCAAGCCAGCCTGGTCTACATAAAGAGTTCCAGACTAGCCAGGGCTACAGTGAGACCCTGACTCAAAACAAAACAAAGAAACACCACTAACAACAATAACAACAAAAACCCTAACTGTCAGAAGCTCCCAACTCTATGCCTAGGACAGCAGCATTAGTGAGGACTACATTAATTACACTCTTGCCTTCAGACCTCTTTCTCTCCAGCACCAAGCCCACCGAGTGGAAAGTCATGTTTCCTCTGAGTAGTTAAACTCATTGCTTTTTCTTTTTAAATGTGATTTGTCAGAGCCTATGCAAAGGATAAAGAAAAAGTTACCAAGAAATAAAAAGATTTACCAGAAAAGGGCAGGTTCCATCATTTTTCCTGCCTTTATCTCACTGGTCCCACTGCAAAGCTACATCTCATTGGGGTGTCAGGGATAGAGAGTATGCAAAACTTTACTCAAGTCACGCTGCCCTCTGACGTAAAGCTCACCTGGATTTCTTTCTATTCCTATCCTGTCTTTCCCTAACCCGAGACACAGTTTCCCCAGTCCACACACAGTGATATGTTCTTACCAAAAGAAAAATGCAAAAGCAGACATGCAGCAGAGGGAATTGGGGAGTTGCTCAAACAAATGACCTAAACATCAGTGAACCCTATCAGAAATATGCTTTCTTACGACTTATCATCATCTGTCACCCATAAAAAGTTTACTTCCAGGCAGAATGTCAAATGATGCTGTGAGGGGGAAAATGGAAGAAGAAATGGGGCATAAGTAGGTAACTCCTTCATGACATTATGAAGGAAATTCCTTCATGAATGCATTAGAATACTTTTAGCCTGGTCTACATAGTGAGTTCCAGGCCAGGCCTACCGTACGTATCTCTAGATAATTGATGATTGGTGGGTGGATGGATGGATGGATGGATACATAGTTAGAATATTTTAAGTCTAATCTCTACTTGCCCAGAGTTGTTTATACAGATGAAGGCAAGCAAAACTCAATTCTACACCAGCTCCCACAAGGAAGCCAGCAATCCAACCGAAGCATCAATTTAAGGATCAAAGTCAAAAGACAAACTCTCTAGAAAAACGACCTTCTCGGATTAACTGAGTCTCCAAGCCCATGGATCCTCTCCCGGGGCGAATGCCACTCAGAAACCTGTCTCTGGAGACCATCTTACCCGCTCTGGGTTTGGGCTGGGGCAAGCCGCTACCTCTTCTTTCCAAGCAGGCAATGTGATTTCTTCCAGTCCCTGGGGCCCCTGGGTCTTCGGCTGAAATTGGGGCAGATGTTGCTATAGGAGCTATGGATAAAGCTTATCTAAGCCTTGAAGAGGATCATTTGAGTGGCTTCGGTCCCCTCCTTGGGAGGGAGACCCGTCCCGCGTACTCCAGATCTCTCTCCCACCCCTTCCCGACAGCAACTACAAGAGCCCTTTTCCCCTCCCACTGGCCTGAAGAAGTCAGGCCTCTGTCCCACGCTCCAGGCTTCTTTACTCTGAGCGAAGAAATTCTTTTTCAATTCATGAGCGACTGCTTCTCCAGAATCCGAACCACACCTATTTCTGGCTACCCCCGCCCCATCTCCTCCCCTAGGACTGCCACAGACTTACAGGCCCCCTCCCCTCCGCCCCCATCGGCGTTTTTTTTTTTTTTTTTTTTCTTTCCGCCTCCAACCCTTTTCCATTCTGGGATCCTAAATCTCCTCCTCAGAACTGGTCCCTCCCTCCATCCCTACTCCATGCTATCCCTCTCAACTCTGGCCTCCTAGTGCAACTATTCAAAAATCCCACAACAAACTTTCCGCCGGGGCCCGTTCCTTCAAGGCGCCATCTTGCCGCGGGGCAGGACGGGTAAGGGGCCTGGGCCGCGGGAATCCCCACGCACTAGGCGCCGCGCGTCATCGGGGGCGGGGCCGGGGGCGGGGCCTCGGGGTAAAAAAATTGGAACTCCTGGCGACACTGTAGAAAGTGGGAATCTCCTCCAAGCAGGGTTTGGACCGGGCAAGGGAAGAAAGAAGGCGGTGTCGGGAGTAGAACACAAAAACAAAAAAAGGAGAAAAAAAAATGGTACTGTGGGAAAAATTAAGGAACAAAACTTAAAAATACATTAGGAGATGCTCCTTAGTTAAGGAAAAATGGCAACACACAGCCGCCACCGCACCCCCACCCCCACCCCCGTCCAGCAGGGTTTCACTGGCTGGCCTTGGAACTCCAACTCGTTTTATAGAACAGGCTGACCTTGAACTCACAGAGAGGCCAGTGACGCACAGGGCAAGGAAAAATGCCAGCTTTTCCTCTTGACGGAAGATAAATCATGACCTAACTTCTATCACCCACCCCATCAAGCCTGTTTCCCACTTCTCCCAAAGCCTTCAGGTTCTTAAATTGTCCTATGTTATCAGAAAACCAAGCCTAGAGACCCGCAATCCAGTCCTCCCCTCAGGAGGTTAATCTTTACTGGGTTTTGTTGTTGTTTGTTTGTTTGTTTGTTTTTGAGGGGGAGGGCAGGGTCGTCACACGTAGCCTCTTGCCTCACCTGGGACTACAGGTATGAGACTCCACGTCCAGTTTTTAGTTTTCATTTTCTTTCTTAGCCCTCATCTTAAACTGTCACCTCTTTCCTTTGATGCTCCTTTTACTAGGCGGCTCTATCTAGTTATCCTGTACCATAATGGAATATGCTAGACCATAATTTATATTTTTTAATTTACTTTATGTGTATGTGCCCGTATCTGTGTATGTGTACTATGTGCATGCAGGAGCCTGCAGAGGTCAGAAAAGGATATTGGATCACTGGGAACTGGAATTATAGGCTTGTGAGCCACCATTCGGGTGCTGGGAGCTGACCTTGGGTCCTCTGCAAGGGCAGCAAATGATCTTACCTGCTAAGCCATCTCTCCAGTTCCATAATTATTGCTATACTTACTGTATCTCTTCTACCTGAGTGTTTCTTCGAGTCAAAGAGCATGTTTTGATATTGCATAGCAGGTGCGTGGCCCACAGGAGTGGTCAGGTAACAGGCCTTCCTGTGATGAGCTAAGCATTATGTATGCCCCAGAGCCTTCCAGGGTTCTGTTTCCTGTGACTGGAATGTTCTTCTAGGTAGTTGCCAACACTTGCATCCTTGCTCAAATGTCACCACATCAGAGCAGTCTTCCTTGGTCATTTAGCATCCCAATCACTCGCCTTTACTGCACTTCATTGAACATTTACTTTCATGGAGGTTATTAATATCTGGCATCATATTAAATATTTGTCTGTCCTACTACAAGGAAAACCCCAGAAGTTTTCTCTTCTTATTCAGCACAATATTCTCAACTGTCTAAACAACAGTTTGCTGAAGTACATACTCAATAAATATTTGTTATTCACTTATTTGTTGTTATCCAGTCATTCACTGAAAGTGAGTGAGGAAGAAGAGTTTAAAATACAGTAAAATAAAAAGTCTCTCTCTCATACACACACACACACACACACACACAACATCACTGGGTCCTGGCAGGAATGGTAACAAAGACAAGCCCAGATTTAACAAATGAAAACATGAGAGGAGAACCAGCTGGAAGTCTGCATCCCGGTCCTCAGGGAGCACAGCCCTTCTGAGAAGACTCCAGGACAAGAAGGAGCCAGGTAGAGGAAATAGGGAGGGCTGGTGGCCAAGCGGTTTACTCAGACCTAAAACAACATCTCCCCTAAGCCCAGGCCCCTCTTGACCAGATGGTTCCGGAGAAGCCTTAGCATCTGTCCCTCCATCAATTATCCAGTGTTCCTTCCTGCCAGTCTTCTCTGGTGACAGCCGGAACAATTGTCCAGGAATTCCATCTGCTCCTCCTGTGCTGAGCCCCTCGGACAGTTCATCAACATTTCATTGCACAGAGGTATCCCATTTCCCTGGCCAAAGATGGAAACTCGTCTGTCCCGGGGTGAGATGATTTCCAGTAGGCCCCCCTGTCAATACAAATAAAGACTCCACAGGGCATCTGAGATCTCTAGGGGACAGAGTCCCACATCTTTTCTTTCTTTTTTAAAATTGTTTTGTTATTATTATTATTTAAAGCAGGGTCTCTCTACATAGCTCTGACTGTCCTGGAACTCGCAAGGCAGACCAGGCTGGCCTCAAACTCAGAAATACACCTGCCTCTGCCTCCCCAGAGCTCGAATTATAGCTGTGCACCACAGTGGCCCAGCTAAAGTTCCACATTTTATTTCCCACCCCTCCATGCTCTTCTGACACATATATTTTCTAAAGCAAATAAGATTATACCAAATAACTTGATTTTACATAGGTTTTTGTTTTGTTTTGTTTTTAAAGGAAACTCAAAGTAAAGGGCTAGAGGTGTCACTCAGGGGTAGCTTGCATACTTGGCATAATTAAGGCCTTGTTTTAATCCTTTCTGCCCAAAACAAAACAAAATGACTCCAGAGCTCCACTTGGTTCTCTTTATCCTGCTCATTCAGCACTTTCAAAATGAGATATTTGCTGTGAGAAGATACCATAAGCTCAAAATACAAATAAATTAGCCTAAAAGAAAAGAGTTTAAGGGGCTGGAGAGATGGCTCAGTGGTTAAGTGTACTGTCTGCTCTTCCAAATGGACCTGGGTTCAATTCCCAGGAACCACATGGCAGCTCACAACTGTCTGTAATGCCAATTCTAACGGATCTGACACCTTCACACTAATGCACATAAAATAAAATTAAATAAATTATTATTAAAAAAAAAAAAAGAAAAGAGTTTAAAGTGAAATTTAATTTAAAATTAAAATTTTCAGCTAGACAATGGTGTGCACACCTTTAAGATCCCAGCACTTGGAGACAGAGGTGGTGGATCTCCATAAGTTCCAGGCCAGCCTGGTCTACAAAGCAAGTTCCAGGACAGGCAGGGCGGTTACACAGAGAAAACTTGCCTTTAGAATGATGAAACAAACAAACAAATAAAAATAAAATACAACTTTTAAAGAAAAAAGAAAGACAGGAAGCTCAGATGTTGAAGCCAGGAGGCTGCTGTACCCTTCCTTGTGACCTTGTTTGGACATGCAGAGCACCTGAATTAATCCAGGTCCCTGTCTACCTATGGGTGGTGAAGATTATTTCAGAGCCAGGTGTGGCATGCCTATAATCATGCCAACTTGGGGGTGGGGGGTATTGCTTAGAGGGAGGGTAGAGACAGGGGGCCAAAGAGGTCAAGATCATCCTAGGCCATACAGGGAGTTTAAGACAAGCTATATAAGGCTGTGTCTAACAACAACAAAGGGCAACTAAAAGATAATTTCAGAACTTCAAAAGGTGGTGATCAGTTTATTTCCTAAAGTCTCAGTTATCCACATCTCCTTCCTAAATCTTCTGTTAGTGAAATGTATGGCCATTGTTCTGGAGGATAAAGTTTTACTACATATACTGTCTTTTTCTGGAAGTCTAAGATATAATAAAGTCTAAAACTACGACTTTAGGGGCTGGAGAGATAGCTCAGTGGTTAAGAGCACTGGCTGCTCTTCCGGATGGACCGGAGTTCAATTCTCAGCAACCACATGGTGACTCACAACCATCTATACTGGAATCTGATGCCCTCTTCTGGCATGCATGCAGATAGGGCAGTCATCTACATAAAGTACATAAATAAAGAAGTCTTTTTTTTTTTTTAAGAAAAAAAGTATAGTTTTTAGCCGGTATATGGTATATACTCACTCATATAGTCCTATAAGATATGATAAACATAATGAAATCTATACACCTAAAAAAGATAAACAAGAAAGAGGACCTGGGGGGGTAAGATGATGAATCTTCAATTAGAAAGACAAATGGGAGGTGCATTGGATGTAGTAGAAAACAAGTAACAGGACAGGAGCCTACCACAGAGGGCCCCTGAAACGCTCTACCTAGCACTGTATCAAAGCAGATACTAGGACTCATAACCAAACCTTCGGCAGAGTGCAAGGAATCATATGAAAGAAGGGGGAGTTTGTATGATGTGGAAAGGATAGTAGCTCCACAAGGTCCAAATATATCTGGGCACAGGGGTCTTTTCTGAGACTGACACTCCACCAAGGACCATATACGAATATAACCTAGAACCTCTCTGCACAGATGAAGCCCGTGGTAGCTTAGTAACCAACTGGTTTCCCATAGTAAGGGGAACAGGGACTATTTCTGACAGGAACTCAATGGCAGGCTCTTTGACCTCCCCACCCCCCAAGGGAGGAGCAGTCCTTCTCGGCCACAGAGGAGGACTTTGCAGCCAGCCCTGAAGATACCTGCTAAAACAGGGTCAGATGAAAGGGGAGGAGGTCCTCCCCTATCAGTGGACTTGGAAAGGGGCAGGGAGGAGATGAGGAAGGGAGGGAGGGTTTGGGAAGGAATGAGGGAGCGGGATACAGCTGGGATACAGAGTTAATAAAATGTCACTAATAATAAAAAAATGAAAAAAAAGGAAAAAGTATAGTTTTTAGCTGGTATGTGGTACTATTGTAGCACTTCAGAGGCTGAGCCAAGAAGATGGAGTTTAAGGCCAGGCTGAGCTATAGAAGAGACCCTATCTTAAAACAAAGCAAAACAAGAGGAAGAAAAGGGGACTGTTCCTCCAGGAGCCCAAACCCACACTTGGTTATGGTTTTCTTTGAGTGACTTTCTTAGAGATGCCTATACCCATGTTTTCAGGTTGTTTTATGTTTTTCTGACACCCCTTCCTTAACTCTTTCACTTTTTGTTGTTGTTTTGTTTTCTTGAGACAGGATATCTCTGTGTAGTCTCTGGCTATCCTGGAACTTGCTCTGTGGGACAGGCTGCCCTTTCTTTAACTCGGAGATCTTCCTGCCTCTGCCTCCTGAGTGCTGGGTTTGAAGGTGTTCGAGACCACTGCCCGGCTTCCCTTAACTCCTATGTTTAAGCCTATCTTAAAATATATTTGTTAAGGGGCTGAAGAAATGGCTCTGAAGGTAGGAGCACAGACTGGTCCTGCAGAAGGAAGACCTGTCATGGATCAGAACCACCTGTAACTCCAACTACAGGAGGATTTGATACTTCTGTGGGTGCCTACAGGCACACACTACACAGAGAGACACAATTAAAATAATATTAATAATAATAAGCAAAAATATCTTAACTAAATCTCAATTCTGCTTCAAAAAGAAATTTTAAAAAATCTTGAAGCTTGGTGAGTGTGTGTGTGTGTGTGTGTGTGTGTGTGTGTGTGTGTATGAGAGAAAGAGAGGGAGAGAGAGGTGCATGCATATACCATGGCCCTATGAAGGTTAGACCACAACTTTTGGAAATTTGTTTTCTCCTTCCACCTTGTGGATGGAGTCAAACTCAGGTCATCAGGCTTGATGGCTTCCTTTAATAACTGAGCCAATTTACAGCCCCCCCCCCCTTTTTTAGGTCTTATTTTAATCTTGTTGTAGTGGAGCACACTTTTAATGCCAGCAGGCAAATGTTTGAAGTCAAGGCCAGTCTGGTCCACAGAGTGAGTTCCAGTACAGCCAGGGCTATACAGAGAAAACCTCAAAAACCAAACCAAATAAACAAAAGAAAAAAAAAAAAAAAGATCTTACTTGAAGTTTTGCCTGATTTGGTGGCACATGCTTTTAATCCCAGCATTCAGGAGGCAGAGTGAATCTCTCTGTTTTAGGCCACACTGATCTACATAGCAAGTTCCAGGCTAGCCAGAGCTACACAATAAGACTGTTTCAATTTTTTTTTTAATTTTAACTTTTATCTATGTATGTTTGTGTGTGTATGTATGTGTGCATATATGCCACGTTTGTGTGTGTAGGTGTCCGAGGACACCAGAAAAGGGTGTTGGATCTCATGGAGCTAGAGTTACAGGTGTTTATGAGCCGCCTGATGTGGGTGTGGAAACTGAATTCAGCTCTTCTGGAAGGGCATGAAAGTGCTCTTAATTGCCAAGCCACCTCTCTAGATCCTTTATTCATATTCCTAAAATCATTCAACACATACAAGTTACTTTTAAAAAATCAGAAATTTAAATATTTGCATATTTGTGTTCATAGCAGCACTCTCTGACAATGACCAAAAGATGGAAACACCGCATTGTCCATCTGTGATAAACGCGCGCGCACACACACACACACACACACACACACGCACACATTCAAGTTGCAAAGGTAAGAATGCTGGGATCTCATGCCTGCAGTTTCAACACTCGGGAGACTAAAGCAGAAAGACTGCAGTGATTTCGAGGCCCGCCTGGTATCCATACTGAGCGTCAGCCTGCTCTAGGGTATGATACCCTGCTGTGTGTTGCAGCATGCACAGCCTTTGAGGACATTATGGTAAGTGCAATAAGCTAGTCAGGAAAGGCAACAGGCGCCCACCCTGGTAGCACAGGCCTGTAATTCCAGCTACTAGGGATGCTCAGACACATGAGTCACAAGTTCAAGGCCAGCTTGGACAACTTAGTGAGACCATGTCTTAAAGCAGAAAGCACCAAAGGGGATCCAGGCTGTAGCTCAGCAGTAGGGTAATTGCTTATCATGTGGGAGGCCGCCAGCACCGCAACAAATAAAAAAAATAAAAATACATGATGGCTGCTGTCTTAGTGACCTGGAGTAATCACATCTATAGCGATAAGATGGGTCCTATTTGACTATGCAGTCAGCAGTAGTGAGTCTAGCAGTAGCAGTCAGCAGCTGGGTGAGTCTAAGATCCCATCTCTGCCAAGTCAACAGGACCTCCTGCCCTCTCCTGCCACCCCCAACCCCGCCCCCAATTCCAGGTGAGTGTGTGGGACTTGGCCTTGGAAGCTCTGCTACCTTGCAAACTGAGCGGCTGCTTCTGCGGGAAAGGCAGAAAAGGGAGCTCCAGGTTCCAGAAGCATCCCGGAATGACACCTGCCAGGGTGACTACTGGAGAGACGAGGAAAACCCACCTGGGCCTCTGTCACCCTTCATCCGCCCGAGGCAGTCCAGGGGGCAGAGACCCCCCAGCATGGGAACACTTGGTGCTGCAGCACCCACACTCACTGTCCGGATGAGTGACTCCCCGTCCTTCCCGGACTGTGTGCCCGGGTCTGTACATGCTTAGGGTCTAAGCGGACCTGGTCCCTCTCATGCCGTTTTAAAAAAAGAGCACGCTCAAACCATGGTCGGGAATGGCCCACTCCTCTATCACTTCTCAATGCTCAACCTGACCCGGGTTCTTCCCCTGCCCTGTGCAGGAGATTCCAGGTATCCCAAGCACGCACGCACGCACACACACACACACACACACACACACTCACACACACACACACACACACACTCACACACACACACTCTCGCCAGCCAAAAGTGGGGAACAATGGCTGGATTTGGGTTTCAGCTCTCTTGAACAACTGGCTCTGACGCTGGCTGGGGGGTGGGTGGAAAACAGGAAGCAGCCAGAGGGAGGGAACATTTGTTGTAGGACTCAAGGGCCCCTCTGCTGGCAGGCTGCCCCCTGAAAGCTCAACCCCCACTGTAGGGCCTCTACTGGACTGGCTAGAACTGGCTTAGAGAAAAACAGGACAGCACAGGCAGATAAACAGCCCTAACTTGGTGAGAACAAAGGCCTGACCTACAAGCCCGCAGGAGCACCTGGCCTTCTGTTTATTAGGGCTATGTGGGAAGTGAGGCGGCACGTCTCCTCTTTTAGACTGTAAGATGCTTGGTGAGGCCGGGGCTCACTGCTTTTCCCCATTTGTAATAATTCATTCTCTTGTTAAACTCATATTTATCACCAGCCACATGCCTGTGATGGCTTGGGAGAGGCAGGCAGGATGATCAGGAGTTCAAAGTCATCCACAGCTTGAGACCAGTCTGGGCTATGTGAGAACCTGTCTCAAATATATGTGTGGACATGTGTAATAAGGGCTGGAGGTGTGGTTCACTTGGTAGAGAGCTTGCCTAGCAGTCACTAGGATCAATCCCCAGACCACATATGCAAGCCTGTAATCCCAGCACTCAGGAGGTAGAGGCAGGAAGATCAGAAATCAGTTGTCCTCAACTGTATAGCCAGTGTGAGGACAATCTGGGCTGTGTAAGACTCAGCCTCAGGGTTGGGGAGATGCTCAGTGGCTAAGAGCACTGGCTGCTCTTCCAGACGTCCTGAGTTGAATTCCCAGCACCCACATGGTGGCTCCCAACCATCTATAGTAAAGATGTGCTCAGGGAGGTGAGGGCATCCTTAAGGCTAGACTGTTCCAGAGAAGAATAGCCAATGTCCAGGCCTGGGATCAAAGTAAAAAATGTCCCTACTTTGACTAGCAATGGCCACTAAGTAGGAAGACATTAGCATCCCAAAGTGATCTGGTTGTCAGAAAAATCTGTTCCCAGGGTCTGCCAAGGGATAGCTACTAGACCATGAATTTGGGTGTCGTCCTTGCAGTGGGGCCATAGTGATCTTCTCTGTATTGTTCCAATTTTAGTCTAGGTGCTGCTGAAGTGAGCACAGTAAGTTATTCCTGAAGAGCAGAAATTCAAGCCAAGAGTTGATGGGCGTCAGCCAGTGTCGCGCGCAGCCTTCGCCGATAAGGATGACGCGGCAACCGAGGAGTGTCCAGCAACAACTTTATTGTTACAGCTCTTTTAGCAGATGGTGAAGGAAGGACCCAGACCCCGGGTTGTGCTCTGCTTAAATAGCCAGTCAAGGCGACGTGTTCGTCTGTGATTGGTGCTCCACACAAAACCTGATTAGCATATGATCCCTAATTGGAGGACCACATAAGCCTACATTAGCATAAGGTGGCACATGCGCAGATCGCAAAGCCTTTGGCGGGAACCGCTCCCGCCAAAGCAATGCTGGCAAGAAGAACCAGGAAGCAGGAGACCGGCGCCACCTTGCAGTGGCGGGAGCGGCTCCCGACATCTCCCCCTTTTTTATTAATTAAAGGCCATTTCAACCAGAAAAATTAACACACCATGAGGTCACCGATCAGCCTGCTGAGCCAACAGCATCAGCGATCAAGGAGTTTACACAGTGTAGGAGACCCTCTGCACCCTTAGCCCCGTGCAATGGGAACCCGAGCCCTGGGGAGTGCAGAGGTCTGTCCAGAACAGCATCCCGGTGCAATGGGAACCTGTGCCCTTCAGGGGTGCCATAAGTTCTAGACAGAGTCTCAACGGTTGAGCAAGTTAAGCCAAACTTGGGGGGATGCCCCCTGTTCCACAGCCAGCATAGCCTGCACCATGGCCACATTTTTAAGATGTTGTTGTCTCTTGAATCTGCAGAGCAACCAAAAACAGAGGAGCAGTCCTGCAAACAGGGTTACTCCAAACATTCCCACTCCAACCCACTCCTTAAAATAGGAGAGGGCGGAGGACACCCAATTAAACAATCCTTGAGTAATGGAAACGTCTAGGCGAGTGGAATTAATTTGAACAATTGCTAGGCGTAATTTTCTTATTGTCTCATCAAATTCGGCGGACCAATTAGATTGCAGCAAACGAGACAATTCTATGGATAAATTTGCAGCCCTAGTAAACCTGTTATATGGAACAGAAGTTACACAAATTCCTGGTAATGTAGTTTCACATCCCAACTGAGCCAGCTGCCACAAAATCTCTAGCTGTTCTTGAACCAAATCAATACGTTGATTAACTATCATTAATCCTCCTTTTAACTGATTGTTCATGGAAGCCTGTATATCTATCGCTTCACTAACTGATGCTGACAAATTATTGAGGGTATGAGCCGTGGCAACCTGGCCATTTAATGCTAAGGCTGATATAGTCAGGGAGGCTCCAACCGCCGCAGTGGCTATAATAGCCACTATTGCTGCGGTGATACCAAAATCACGCTTTTGACGAAATAGGGCCAAAGAACTACTAGTCCTCACTGGAATAGGCAGAAAACGGGGCATGCGGGCTACAGTAGCCAAGTCATACTCACTAGCATTCCAACACAGAGCATAAAAACATCCAGTATAATTACAAACTGTCCAAACAAATGGAGGCCAAACACAAACTGGGGTGGGCTCCACCGACTTTAGTCCTCCTAATTCCGTCGCGGATATGGATCCAGGTCTGACATTTGCAAGCAGAGTGGTAGTAGCTGTCGCTCCACCCAAAATGGTGACCATGGGTGAGAGATCTGTGCAACTGCCACCAACACCACACAGCAGCCAAATATTAAAGGGATTGGTGGGGTAATTCCAGGGACTCATTTCGGTGTAATTTCCATACCCTTCCAAGGGTGAAAAGGTAAAGAGTCCA